GACACACCACTTTCACCTGACAATCTCGTTTAAAATGTCCAGGTCTTCCACACTTGTAGCAAGCTTTAAATGGCTTCTTTGACGACTGCTCACTTCTGAATTGATTCGCATTACTTGATGAAGGCTTTGAATGAAAATTTTGTCTTCTTTGATCTTTGCCATACAACACATCTACTGACTTTCGGGAAAACTCGTTACTATTAGTCATTTGCTTAATCAAGGATTCTTGATTTGAAAGAAGATTTTCCAGTTCAATTACTATAGGCTAATTTGCCCACCCTTGTGTTGAGGAAACAAAGGGCATAAACTCTTTCTGTAATCCATGAATAAGATAACGCCGTAATCGAGCCTCACTGGTTCCTCAGCATCTAATTCTGAAATTTCAGAACACACATTTTTCACTTTAAAAAAATATTCTTCAACAGAAAAATTACTTTAAGTTACCATACCTAGTTCATTCTCTAGAAATTGCAGTCGAGCGGTATTTTTATTAGTGAACAATTTTTGAAGTGTATCCCATACTTGCTTTGGTGACTTTAAATCACGAACATGATCAATATACTCCTTTCTAATCAAAGTTCGCAAGGTAAATAAGGCTTTTCCACATTTGATCTTCCATTATTGACGTAATTTTGCATTCTGTGGAGTATCGGTTGAAATTTCTGTGTCATCACCTTCAATTAAATCCCACAAATCTTGCCCGTGTAGATAAGCTTCCAGTCATCACCTTCAATTAAATCCCACAAATCTTGCCCTTGTAGATAAGCTTCCATGCATAACTTCCAATAACTATAGTTATTGCCAACCAGCTTTTCCATAGCTAACTCAAAGAAGCACTTCCACCATTCATCTCGTTAAGTAATAATTTCAACCATATCAACTTGGTTCTGATACCAACTATCACAATATCTCACGCTCAAAGGTGTGAATAAATACAAAATTATTATTACTCAACGAAGGTAATTCAGCGACAACTGAAATAATGAACTATTGTGGCTTGTGTTTTACTAAGCCAAGGACTCCTATTTAAACAAAAATAAATCATATAAATAGTTCCAACAAAAACACTACTGCAATAAACTATTCCTCCTAAAAGGGTGAATGGGTTAACCAGTTGATTAATTCCATCTAAAATAAGTTGCACTAATTTTGACACTTGCGGCAACCCATATTGGTAGTATTTGATTACATAAAAGTACATGAAAAAATTCCAAATCATTCCATTCATAGATAAGTCATGTTTTCTGCTTGATGCCTGATGGAATCAAAAAGCGTCGTCGAGAGATATCGCTCACCGAAGCTCGGGAAGATGACCTACAAATGGATCACAGAATAAAAGATGTAAATTTTGTTGCAAAGACTTGATGTTTGATGTTTGATTTGGAAATGAAAGTAAAATATGGCTTACAACAACGAGTTTTCCTTCATTTTCTGGTCTCTTTGCAACCTTTATTGCAGCAGCTGCTGCTGCACCAGATGAAATCCCCACCTACAACAGAAAAGAGAAAAGAAATATCTATATTTTCACAAAAATACATCAAATAAGTGTCTCATAGATAAAGTAACATACTAGGAGGCCTTCTTTTAGTGCAAGAAGCCTTGCAGTTTCAATGGCTTCCTCACTTGTCACCTGAACACACCCAAATTTGCATTACTACCTCAAAAAATAAGGACATTCCTGCCAACTTGTAAATGCTATATTAGAAGAGAAAGTAGGAAAACAAAGCCATTTAGGAAATTTGAGAGGTCGGAACTCGTCTACATGACTAATTGCAAGCATAAATGTATAATGGGGAAGACGAGAAGAGCGTTGGTTTATTCTACATTCAAAGTTTAACAACTCAAGCCCACTGTTAACAGATATTGTCTTTTTTGGGCTTTCCCTCAAGGTTTTTAAAACGAGTCTATTAGGGAGATGTTTCGACACCCTTATAAGTAATGTTTTGTTTCCCTCTTCAACCGATATGAGATCTCACAATCCATCCCCTTTGGGGCCAGCATCCTCACTGGTACATCGCCTTTCAGGACTTAGTGTCCTCACTGGCACACCTTCCAATGTCTGGCTTAAAAGGTATAAAGACTTCGTTGTTTATTTAAAAATTAAAGGGAAAGTTTCAATCACTTGCCCAACTCTTGAGCATAGCTCAACTAGTTAAGGCATTGTTGGTAAAAGGTTCAAATTTTCACCCATATTGTTGAACTCAAAAAGGGTTAAAGGCCTTGTCTCTTAAGCTAACTTTTGAGTCATAATTGTACATGGAAACGTTGCAAGAAATCTTAAAAGGGGCAAAAAGACCTCGTCTCTTAAGCAAACTTTTGAGTCATATTGTGTGCTAACATGATCATATAATTTTTGTTTAGATCATATCTAAAACAATATTGCAAAACAGAGAACCGATCAAAAGAATTTCTTTGGACAAATAAGTTCAAGGTGCACCTTAAAGACTTCATCAAAGACTTTGAGATCAAGAATAGCTGGGATGAAGCCAGCCCCAATGCCTTGAATTAGATGCTTGCCTGTAATCACCATGAGAAAATGTTAGCATACAAACTTTGGCTAAAATCATTTAATCATCATGAGAAAGTGTTTTCGTATGATCTTTAGGCGCTACTTGATTTAAATGGTATATATTTTTAAGCTGCTCGATTTCCATACGAGCGCTGTGATATTTATGTTCAATTTTGTAAATTATTCTAAAATAATAAAATTTGCTTCAGAATGGGAGCTCACCAGGTTGTTCCCCACTTAGCACTGCACTCTCTGCTGGTTCCACTGCATAAACCTACATTGTATATAAAGGTTGATCGATCTCCTGAATAATAACAGCCCATTTGGTCGTTTGGTGACGTTCTTATTTCTTATTTTATGCTTAGTTTTTACTAAGAAGCAAGAAATAAGAAACGAAAACGTTACCAAACAACTTGACAGTGTTGGGTTTTAGAGCAGCAAACTAAGAAACGAACCTTAATGTCTGGATTCTGTTCCTTAAGAAAATTCCCTGTGCCAGTTATTGTTCCTCCGGTTCCAATCCCCACGACCAACACATCGACTTTTCCTCCTGAATCTTTCCATATCTCTGGCCCAGTGGTTTCATAATGAATCTAAATAACAGAAATGGATGCAAATTGACTCAGTTATATATCTTTTTGGGATCACAAATCAAAACAAATCATACCTTTGGGTTTGCTGGATTATCAAATTGCTTCAGAAAATAGCTGTTGGGAGTGGCTTCCATTATCTCCCCAACCTTCTTTAGAAGGCCTTCAAGCCCCAGTGCAGGGTCTGTGATGTGCAACTCAGCTCCAAAAGCTAGAAGCAGAATTCGTCTTTCAAGACTATACGAAGCTGGCATAACTATAATAAGCCTATAGCCCTTCACAGCTGCGATGCCTGCCAATGCAATGCCTGTGTTACCGCTCGTTATCTCGACGAGGACAGTCTTTTTTCCACCAAAAAGAATATATAAGACAGATTACGTAACGAATCAAATGCATGACTTTAAGTTTAGCAATTGTTTTACAAGGCATTATAGTCACCGAGCACAAACAATGTAACTGCTCAAGCCCACCGCTAGTAGATATTGTCAACTTTGATCCGTTACATATCGCTGTTAGCTTCACGGTCTTAAAACGCATCTATTATGGAGAGGGTCTAGCCCTACTCCGACTAGTGTCTCGCACTGTCCAGTGACTAGCTCTGATACTATTTGTAATAGCCCAAGCCCACCACTAGCCGATATTGTCCACTTTGACCCGTTACGTATCGTTGTCAGACTCACGATTTTGGGCTTGGGCTATTACAAATGGTGAGGCTGATGACGATACATAACGGGTCAAAGCGGACAATATCTGCTAGTGTTACAAATGATATTAGAGCCAGACATCGAGCAGTGTGCCATCAAGGATGTTGAGCCTACAACGGGAGTGGATTGTGAGATCCCACATCGGTTGGAGAGAGGGAAATGAAACATTCCTTATAAAGGTATGGAAACCTCTCTCTAGTAGATGCGTTTTAAAACCTTGAGTTTAACCGTGATACGTAACGATACAAAGTGGTGGCCTAAATTTTAATGGTACAGAAAGAAATGAAGCATTTTATAGTACCTTCCCTGGTGTAATCAGGCCTTTATCCTCAGCATCTTGAATCATACTATGCGCAATCCTACATCGAAAAACTTGTACATTTAAACATCGCAAAAATCCCTCGTAACAAACATCGGAAAATTACATTAGTACTAGGTCCTAGAAACGTTAGAACACGGCTCCACAAACGTTATCATACAGGCCATCGACTTATATAACAAAGAAAGATTCTCAACCTGTCTTTAACGCTAGAACACGGCTCCATCGTCTCTAACTTAGCAGCGATACGAGCAAAACAACCATCAGCCATTTTATTTAGATATACCATAGGAGTATTACCAATTAACTGCAAATGAAAGAATGCTATCAAAGTGAGCAAAGTTCAAGAACATCAAGAACATGCAAACAAGTTCAAAAATATTCAAAGATTCATAGTAAGAGAGAATTACTTCAGTGATATCTTTCTTGATTCCACTCTTCTCTTCCATGCTTTAGTTTGTGCTTCAAATCTTTCACAACAATTACAAACGAAGAATTAAAAAGTGTAGACAGGGCAGAAGCAATGGCTATTTAATTTTAGATAAAACCCTAAAGATTTAAGGAACAAATTCATGATCGGATCAAGAAAGCATTGCAAATTAGTATGAATACAACAAAATAATCACTAGAATTAGAGAGTGAAAAAAACTATTCAATGGTACAATACTGGAAGCAAAAGGAAACAGCTCAGTACCGAAAATTGGCTGATTCAACAAAAAGAAAAGCGAATCTGAGGCAGATAAAAGCGGAAGAAAAGTGTTTCAAGAACAGCTAAAAGAAACAAACCTGTGATTCAGAATTGGCTTCAAGAGTATCGGAAAAAACAACAAAAGGCCACAAGAACTCAGCTCTCGGAACCTTCAAAAAGCTTATTAATGGAGGCTCATGATTCCAAATTCCTGGGCTCCATGGAGAAAGAGTGGACACAGTCGAAAGGGCAACGATAGAATCCTTTGCTACTGATTCTCTATCTTAATAAAGTCTCCATACATTCAGCCGCTGGCTGTTCTATACGTTGAAAAATTTAAATACTAAATTAATAAAAATATTCCTAAATTTCTAGAAATTATTAAATATATATCTGAAGTTTTATATTTTTATTAATATTCTCTAATTATTTAAAAAAAATTTAAAAATATCTATTTAATTTTTTTAAAATACTTTTTGAAAGTAAAAATATTTTTAGTTTTAATCTAATTTTTAAAAGTTTGAGGCTATTATTGAAAGTTTTTAGAGTCATCGGGAGAATTTTAAATTTAGCCAAATTTAAAGGAAAAAGAAAAATGATAAAAAACGTTTATAAATATTTTTTATTTTAAAGAATAAAAAAAATGTGGTTAGCTAATTAATGGACAATCCACGTGGATTTGATTGTAGATCGAGAAATTGGAACCATTTTTTTGGATCTCAATCTGACCTTTCAAACATAGATTTGGTAATAGATTGATAAATATTTCTTCTCTTCATGTCTCTAAGATTATTCGTGTGTGAAAATAAAAGGATTATAATAAGGCACCGTTAATCTTCAGCCAACCATTCAAGTTTTCTTGAAGTAAGAAACCTTGAATTGAATTAGATTACCTCCCACGATCAAAGAAGATGTAGAAGCAAAATTTGTAAACCTTGTTCTAAGTTGAGTCACTTCACAATTGAACTTAGATCAAAGCTTGATTGAATGGCTCGGATCTCGGATGCAATTCTACCACAAGAATAGCTTGAAAGTGCAAAATTGATGCTCCGATTTCTGAGGGAAACGTCTTAATTCGAGATCTCAATTACATTTATCTCGAAAGACGTTTGTGACCGAGATTTATTTATGATCTCCTCTAATTGATCCTTTGCCTCTTATATATTTTATTAAATTAAAAATAATATTTTTCAAATATGGATGGTTGAGTGGGTAAGGCAACATGTGACCCTTCTATATTTTATTAAATTAAAAATAATATTTTCCAAATATTAATGTGGTTGAGTGGGTAAGGCAACTCGTTTGATATTCGGTTGTTGACATCTTTGTGTAACCATTTCTAAAAATTTTAGATCTCAACCTTGACCCACTCATTAACACCTTGTTCTAAACGAATAAGATCAAAGTTTGATTGAAAGACTTGTACCACAAGAATGGCTTGATACTGCAAAATTCACCATTTGACTGTTACATATGAGTGGGTAAGGGGACAATTTATTAAGATTCTTCGTGTGTGAAAATAAAAGAATAATAATAAGACACCCATAATCCTCAGCCAATGTAAATAAGGATCCAATACTTCATCCTTATTTACATTGGATGAAGGTCTATCGGATCTTTGGAATACCATATAACTCCAAATTAATTTAAGAGCATTGGTGATAAAAATTTATATAGATAAGAATTCAACCAAATGATCCGAAGAGGGGAAAGAGATATTCATTTACCTCATTGGGCTCGTGGAGATCGATGACTCAGAGATGTTTTCATTAGGGCCAAAGACTGTATTCTCCATCCTCGATCCACCCTACTTCCCTACCGACCCACCCTAATTCCCTACCTTATCTTGTCTCATCCCTACTTTTTTTACAAAATTATAATAATAAATTAGGACCCAGTTGATATTTTTTCATAAAGTAGATTTTGTGGTATAGTTCAATTACAATATTTGAATTCTTAATAAATTGAAGCTGATCTCTACAGTGGCTCATGCTACAAACACTTAATTCAAATAGAAATGGGTAACCATTATCTGGAGATATCGATAGTAAGACGCAAGATGCACAAAGATTTAAACATCAAAATTTAAAAATATTTCAATTATTCACAAGATCAAAATTTGCCACTAAATTCATTTATTTGATGAGGCAACATTTTCCCCCACAACTTAGTCTCACCCTAACTAGATAATTATAACTATTTGTGGGCAATCATAAATGCATAACTTTCAAAGAAACGAAAAGGGAATGGGAATTTAATGTGGAAATGAATAGGAATTTAATGTGGAGTGAATGAGGGGGTTCAAATGACAGTCCAGCACGACGCCGTCTTGGGGTTCCAGAGAGCAGGAAGAAGGAACCTCTTCCCCTTTAACCCAACCACATTGTAAGCGCCTCCGTTCTGGGGGTCAACTAACACCTTCCCAGTGTACCCAGGGGCGGCTCCACTGCCGAACATCCCAGGGCACGCGGTGGAGGCTTCAATCACGCTCGCCTTCTGCCCCAGCTGGAAGAACCCACTGCTGAACGGGTTGGTTACCACCGACGCCAACCCCGTGGCCAGTGATATCACCATAGCGTCGGTCCCGATGTCCCCGCTTGGTGGCTTCAGAACAGCGCCAGCTGGGCCGTAGTCAGCCTTGTGGAAAGGCCATGCACATGCTCCTGGGCACTCGGTCATAGGGTTCCCAATGATCACGTAGGGCGCCCCGTCAATAACTCCATGCTCTGCACACTTCCCCATGCACAGCCCGTCCACGGTCACGTCCCTAGCCGCAACAATAACGGTGACCGCACCAGGGAACTCACCCACAACTTTCTGCACGTGAATCTTGATGAAATCCTTGGTCATAATTTTTCCAAGAGAGCAATGGGGATCTACGTATTGTTTGACCACCTTCACATTAATATGCTCATCCGTGGGGAGATAAGAACTGAGCATGCGCCACCAGGAGGATACCTGTGGGGCACCCCCGACCTCGACTGGGCCATTGATGTTCAAGGACCCCAAGAAAGACCTGAGGGTGCTCTTCTGTATGCGCCCAAACTGACCGTAGAACAGGAGCGCAAGGTCAATATTTCCTTTCAGCATTTGGCCGCCATGGTTAACCAATGGGTTGGCTTTTGTTATGGCGTTGGGATCAGCCGCATGAGCCTGAGCCTGAGGGACGGGCAGTAGAAGGAGAAGGGAGATGGATACCACGCCAAAGAATCCACTTACAATATGGCTACGCCCACCACAACACAACGCCATAATGTCTTCTTATTTCTGTGTTGTGGAACTATGGCATTCGGTTGTGTTAATCTTCCTTCCCGTCTTTCCCCTTCCCCTTTCCCCTGCTGGCCTTTATATACCCATACCCATACCCATGTTGGATTGGGGCTGTTGGATGCCCCATCATAATCGGATTTGTTTGTTATTTGCTTCCTCTTCGGCATCAATTTCTTTGTTTCTTTCCCACCCTATCTTCACCTTTTCTATTATTAGCCTCATCATGGCCTCCTCTCCACACTTTTTTTTTTTTTTTAACTTTTTTGGTATCATTTTTATGGTTTGTAATATTACCCTACTGTAATAACAAGATACATGGACATAATACAAACTCTAATTGTATCACCCGTACCATCACATAAATTTCATCATAGAATAACATAACATTGTACGCGTCAAATAGTTACGAAGGACGATACAGAGAGGGGCCATAGAGAACGCGTCGTTAATGTTTCATATAATTCATTCAACCAAATCAATAGTGAAACCACCCGCCTAATTCTGTCTAAGAAAAAGTTACAAAATTTCTTGAATTGATGTTCGTTTGATCTTATTCAAGTGTCACAATCACAGTTAATTCTTTGTATATCTTGTCATTCTCCTACATGTGTTCGAAACTCATTCAATTCCTTTAGTTGCATCAACCATTGTTCTCCAGTTCTCTTGCTTTTTTAAGGCCATTTTTCAATTTGAAATAAGATTAGTTTCTTGACATCCTGTAAAATTATGGAGACAAGAATCGAATGAAGATTAAAAAAATGAAAAAAAAAAAATAAAGAAGAAAAAAATCATCTATAAAGATAACCGGTATATTCTATTTCAATATTTATACTTTCAAATGTCTATTTTTAATTTATTGAATTTTAATAAGTTTAAAAATAATTCATTCAATGTTAATTTTAATCCAAATTGATTAAATAATAATTATAATAATAGTAACTTTTATGCAATAAAGATACTTTAACTACTCGAAATTTTCTATTATGTTAAGGTCGCTGCTATATATGTACCATAAATATTGAATGCGAAAGATTTCATTTAAATTTCATAAAACATAACATTTATCTTAAAACACAGCTATGGACTTTCGTGCTTCGAAAACATCTTTAAAACGACACAACAAAAGACTAAATAAAATAAATAAGCATTTAAGTTAAAAACATCATATTCTAGCCTAAGTCTAAGAAAATAAATACCACTATCCTATGCATGTGCCATGGTCCCGAGTTCGATGTCGTCATCAGCAGTACAAGAATGTCTGGCCTTAACCTAAAAAATGTAGTACCATATGACTTGAATATTTAAAGAAATACTCAATGAGTGACCCCACTATAGGGGGTTAAATGCAATAACATGCAAATGCAATGATGAGACCTATTCTTTCAATCTATTTTCCTACGGTATTGTCCTAATGGGTAATTTGGAAGTGTACCATATACTCTACACATAGCCCATGCTTGAGGGTATGGGCTCACCAGTCAATTCGCACACTACTGGGCCACCTTACTTGTCGGGCAAGCACACACTGGGACGCTCCCTAGGCCAGACACCCATTATAACTAGTAACCATCACGACAGTGCTATGCAAAACATAACGATCGTTGTCCTGCCATTGGATGTACGCGTCCATACCCTCGTGATGGAATAGGGGAATCCCCCTAAATGAATGAGCACACATAATGCATGAGGTCCCCAACATTTCTACTTTTATCATTAATGAATATAATCCCGCTATCATCTTTCATGCTTAACATGTCATTTCTCATTTTCAGTCTATGTATCATACATAATCCTAACGAGGTTACATTTCATTTCATTTATCGTGATATCATGTCATTCATAACATGCCGTATACATTCAATTTAGAAAACATAACATAACGCTCCATGCTTTTAACATGTCGTTTCATAACGTGCAATTCATATAACAATTACATCAATGATCACACAAAACAAATCTAAAAACAACAATATCACATCACAATATATCGTATCATAAACATGTCATATCGTAACACTTTGTGGTCATATTGTTCTCTTAACTTATCATAGCCTTAACGTTCTTATACTTATCACAGTTACATCGTTACGTGAATGTACTTTAGTCATATAATCACAGGAACGTATCCTAACGTTGTCATTCTATCAACCTATCACAAACCTATCGCTTTCTACCCCTATCATAACCATATTCTTTCATCAACCTCCCCTATCCATAGCACTCCGGTATATAACCTAACCTTAACGTTTCATGAACGTATCTTACTCCTATCGTTACATTCCGTTTTGTGCATCCTTCTCGTATCCTATCTCAAACATATCCTTGAACACATTGTACCATATTATTATCATACAATCCACATATTATAACATAACATAAACATAATATAAGCATACCGATTCACAGATAATTCATACATATCAGTATATATGACACGTGCAGAACCACAAGCACGTGTCAACATCAAATATAACCATGCTGATAGTAAGGTCACTTACCTGACTAGCTTAAGTCGTTGTCACGAATGTATCTTTAATGAATGTTTGATTCCATCCTTTGAAATTCGAGTCAGTCTATGTGAGCCAATGACATCAGTTTCAAGTTTGAACTCTATAACATTATCTCTAATCTAAATATGTAATGCTATTTTCACTAAATATCTTATTTTCTATTATTACTGTTTTTGGGAATATATTGTTATGAGATAAAATTTAATGAGTTTCTTGTCCTCAGATCTTTCTGATTATATATTTAAATTCTTTTCACCAAATCTTTCCTCAATTTTCCCTTCTTCCCACCTTGTAATTATTTTGATTCTGTAAACGAATGACTATTTTAATAGATTATTTGTCTATGATCTTACATATTTATGGATCTACCAACTAGAATTTTATTGATTCTAACCTTATTTCCTATAACTTATAACGCTAACAAAAATCTAATTAATTGGATATGAGATCTAATTAACTAGAATTTTTGTTTATTTTTGGTGATATTATGTAGCTGAGGAAAGAGGTTGCAGTTGAGATGAGAGGTTAGTGGGGAGAGGTGGGTAAATTTTACCTTTTTTTATTTTTTTATTTTTAAGTAATCTTTTTTTAGTTATTTATTTTATTATTATTATTATTATTATTTTGACTATATATATTTTTATAATTAATTTTATTTGTTTATTTATTTCCATTATTATTGTTATTATTTGGGTTATTACAGATACCACGTGGATATGTTCTCAAAATTCATAAAGAGAAATTTCATAGAGAGCTAGTCGTAGAGTGTGATACCCCAATGAGAGCAATCCGGAGGATGGGATGGATATGCTAGGATTGATATAGTCGTCAAGAACATTACCACATAACTACTCAGTTGACAGTACAGTCCACACTTCATAAAGGCATCATTATTAATGCACAGTCTACAGATACGTAGCTCTTCAAAGATTGTGAAAGAGACCGAGAGAGTTGAGGGATTCTTAATTCTGGCAGAGGGCATGCTATTGTGGCAAGGATGTCTTTGTGTACGTAGGGATGAGAAAATTTCTTAAGGAGATTATGTTCGAAGAACACGACATGTCCTACACGTTCTACCTTGGTTGTACAAAAATGTATCAGGACCTGAAGTGCAGTTACTCGTTTATACAAGGTAGCTATGTATCCTGTTTACTAGAGTTAACTACTTAACATGTGTTTATGTTATGTATGAATCAAATAGGTGAGGTAAATAAGACTATTATATCTCCAAAAGTAATAAAATAAGGACAAAGTATACAATTTAACTACTTTAGTACCCTTGTAGACATTTGATAAAGATAATAGCTATATCAATTTGTTTTCTACTCTTTTAAGATAATAGCGTTGTTAGTTTTTAACTTTCTATTTATCCAGGTGAAAACATGTACCTTACCAACACTTCCATGACACAGAAAACCAGCCTCTACTTATTCAAGTGAAAACATGTATTCTAGCCGACTTAGTTATTTATTTTCTTCTATTACCATGCCTTCTGCTTCTACTATACTCTTGGGTGTAACTTTGATTTACTGAATACGCTGCCTAGTTTTTGAATGTCATGAGACAATATATAGATTTTCTTTTCGGTTCTTCAGATTAGATCATGTTTTTCCAAAAGGACTTTATCTCTATTGTGCTCCTATCTACTTTCCCATATTAAATTATTGTTAATATGTTGTCTTAGTTGAAAAAATAAATGATATTAAAAAGTTATTACAATAATTATAATGATTATAAATGAATAAACAACTGAGACTAAAGCTATAAATACTATATTATAACATTAAAAAAATGTTATTATAAACTATAGATAACACAATATTTTAGCTATATTAAATATATTATAGCTTTAATAAAACGCTATAAAATATTTTCATAGCAACATATATAAGCTATAATTTCAATTCTATTATAGCATCAATTATAGCTAATAAAAAAACGCTATAAAAAGTCTACGATAGCATTTTTCGTAAGCTATTGTATCCATTATTTCTTGTAGTGACTGGTGGCCAGAATTGAAAAGAGACGTCGCGGATATTGTGGTACGTTGTCTAACCGTCAGCAGATGAAAGCCCCGGGACAACGCCTTGTTGGATTGTTGCAACCCTTAAACATACCTAGTGGGAGGAAGTGAGTTTGGATTTCATCTTAGGTTTACCTAAGACAAGGTGAGGTTTTGATGTGATTTGAATGGTTGATGATAGACTCACCAAAAAAGCTCACTTCATTTTAGGTAAGAGCACATTTCAATTAGATCGATGGGCTCCGTTGTATGTCCATGAAATAGTTTGCAGATTACGAGCTAGATTTACCTCTCATTTTTTGGAAGAAGGTACACAACTTTGTTTCAATAAACCTTCCACCCTCAGACAGATGGACAAATATAGAGGTTCAATCAAGTATTGAACAACATGCTCCAGACTTGCGTATGGACTCCGCCGTTGGGATAAGAACCTGCCCCTCGTGAAGTTTGCTTATAACAACCGTTACTAGGGTACGATTCAGATGGTGAAATCAAGTTGAACAAGAGGTGGGGAATCATTTAAAGTTAATGAACAACGAGTTAAATATTATTGTAGCACTAAACAAAAATATGTGGAAAGGAACACCGTGACGAACTCACAAAATAAACACTCATTTCATCAAGTTAGAGAAATAACTATTTTTGTTTTTGAGTTTTCATAAGTTTTTGGCATATCATTTTACTTACATGCTTGTGTTAATTTTGTAGGATTTCGAACCAACTAGACGGTGACCCATAGAATTAAAAAAATATCAACTCAAAAAATTTAGTGACTTTGGTTAGGCCAACTATAAGTGGCTTTACTATTGATTTGGTTGAATAAATTATACAAAGCATGAACAACATGTGCTCTATGACCTCTCCTCATGTCGTATTTTATGGTTGTTTGATGTGTATGATGTTAAGTTATTCTATGGTGAAAACTATGTTATGTTATGTGTGATACCACGGGATGTTTATATTATGTCATGTTATCCTGCAGTGACTCTCCTGTTGTATGATGCATGATACCTCAATCTCATATGTCAGGCACACTATGTTATGCTCCCTTTAGGCTTATGAAATACTGTCAAGCTACATATGTTGTTCATGAAAGTTAGGTTTATGAAAGAACGGAGGTATGACCCTATCATACACTATGCCATGATTTAAAGCTATGAGAATCTCATGTATTTTGTGTGTCACATGCATTAGAATAATTACTCCGTACCATGAGTACAAATGCGTACACTACAATACAATATTATGTTTACTATGACATTATGCCTAATTCTTTCTCTCTGCGGTTTTTCCGATAGTGTGAGTATACACTAGTCGAATGTCAGGTCTATGAGGTACATATACGAATCCACTTGGAGTCTATGTGGGCGTTCGTGGGTCGTGGGTCATGGGTCATAGATTCGAACATGATTAGATTGTTGAAATTCTTTCCATTCTTGAAGCTATCAATAGCGTACATGGTTTAGATCAATAACTCAACGGATTTATAAAACGTGTGGTTCGTCTTCTCACAAAAATCTTCCAACAACATTATACAAAAAATATAACCCAAAATAGGTGGAGAGGAGGCCATGAGGCTAATAATAGAAAAGGTGAAGATAGGGTGAGAAAGATACAAAGAAATTGATGCCGAAGAGGAAGCAAATAAGAAACGAATCCGATTATGATGGGGCATCCAACAGCCCCAATCCAACATGGGTATGGGTATGGGTATGAGCATGGGTATATAAAGGCCAGCAGGGGGAAGGGGAAAGACTGGCAAGGAAGATCAACACAACCGAATGCTATAGCTCCACAACACAAAAAATAAGAATTCAAGACATTATGGCGTTGTGTTGTGGTGGGCATAGCCATATTGTAAGTGCATTCTTTGGGGTAGTGGCCATCTCCCTTCTCCTTCTACTGCCCGTCCCTCAGGCTCAGGCTCATGCGGCTGATCCCAACGCCATAACAAAAGCCAACCCATTGGTTAACCATGGCGGCCAAATGATGAAGGGAAATATTAACCTTGCGCTCGTGTTCTACGGTCAGTTCGGGCGCATACAGAAGAACACACTCAGGTCTTTCCTGGGGTCCTTGAACACCAATGGCCGAGTCGGGGTCGGGGGTGCCCCACAGGTATCCTCCTGGTGGCGCATGCTCAGCTCTTATAACCCCACCGCTGGGAATATTAATGTGAAGGTGGTCAAACAATACGCGGATCCCCAGTACTCTCTTGGAAAAATTATGACCAAGGATTTCATCAAGATTCACGTGCAGAAAGCTGTGGGTGAGTTCCCTGGTGCGGTCACCGTTATTGTTGCGGCTAGGGACGTGACCGTGGACGGGCTGTGCATGGGGAAGTGTGCAGAGCATGGAGTTATTGACGGGTCGCCGTACGTGATCATTGGGAACCCTATGACCGAGTGCCCAGGAGCATGTGCATGGCCTTTCTACAAGGCTGACTACGGCCCAGGCGGCGCTGTTCTGAAGCCACCCAGCGGGGACATCGCGACCGACGCCATGGTGATATCACTGGCCTCGGGGATGGCCTCGGTGGTAACCAACCCCTTCAGCACTGGGTTCTTCCAGCTGGGGCAGAAGGCGAGCGTGATTGAAGCCTCCACCGCGTGCCCTGGGATGTTCGGCAGTGGAGCCGCCCCTGGGTACACTGGGAAGGTGTTAGTTGACCCCCTGAACGGAGGCGCTTACAATGTGGTTGGGTTAAGGGGCAAGAAGTTCCTTCTTCCTGCTCTTTGGAACCCCAAGACGGCGTCGTGCTGGACAGTCATGTGAACCCCCTCATTCACTCCCTCCATCCATCCCCCACACATTAAATTCCCATTCTTTTTTCCGTCCTCTTAACAAATCCTCAAATAAAAACTATTCATTTCTTTGTTTTATTTCTCTTTCACGTTTATGCATTTCTCTCAACTTCATTCAACTCAGTACAAAACGTGTGGAATGCTGATCTGTAGGAATCAAAATTTTTATAACAATCAAAAATAAATACCTACATTCCTAAATCAAATCAGATATCATCCTCACAACAGCTTTGAATGAAGACTATGGGACGCCTTTTAAAGCTAGGGGAAGCCCAAAAAGAAAAGCCCAAAGAACAATATCTGCTAGCGGTGAATCTGGGCAGAAGTGATACCGAAAGTTCTAATGATCTAGATGGAACTAGTGAGGATCTGGGCAGAAGTGATATTCAGTGCGTAAATTGTAATATTTTAAATCCAAAATGAATATTTGTGAACAATGTGGATTCAAAATTAGTCCATAACGAAATTTTGGTCTATAAAGGCACCAAAATATCTTATTGGGAGGAAGATTAGAATTAGAGATTGATCGAAAAACAAGGATATGGGCTTGTGTGGGTAGGAAACAGAAAATAATATGAGACTAAGAAATGTGTAAATGAATTAAAAGTTACTATCCATACCAACAAGCTAGTACAATTTCCTTTTTTGTGACTCAATCAAAGAAATTCCAAAATTAAGTGTGCTTCGTTTGAAGCAATTTTATGTTGGGTGACTTACTGAAAATGTTTTTGGGATGTATGTGAATAAGAACAAAATATGTTGAAAAACTCGGGTATGTAGAGATAGTTTCACTTTTAGATGTGAAAAATAAGTAATATGGCCTTATCGCATAGGGGAGAGATAAACAAGTGTCGAAGCTTGGACATAGGTCTTTACAAAATGATCAAATCCATTCACAATCAAAGTAATAATTTCATAGGGGGAAATCGAGTTGAACAAGAGATGCGGAATCATTCGAAGTTAATGAACAACGAGTCATACATTATTGTGGCACTAAGCAAAAATGTGTGGAAAACATCACCCTGACGAACTCACACAATAAACATTCTTCTCATCAAGTTAGAGACATAACTATTTTTGTTTTTCCAGTTTTATGAACATCAACTAGGTATTAACTTTGGTTGAATGAATTATATGAAATATGAACCATGCGTGCTCTATGGACCCTCTACTTGTTGTACTTTGTGACTCTTTGATTCGTATAATGTTATGTTATTCTATCATGAAAGCTATGTTATGTTATGTGTTATACCATGCGACGTTTGTATTATGTTATTTATCTTGTGGTGACTCACGTTGTATGATGCAGGATACTTCAATATGATATGTCATGCGCACTATGTTAGCATGTTTACTTTAGGTTTATGAAATATTGTCAAGCCACATACGTTGTTCATGAAAGTTATGTTTATTAAAGAATGATGATAGACCTGCATCATACGTATATGTCATGATTTAAAACTACGGGGATCTCATGTAATTTGTGTGTCACGTGCATCAGGATACTTCCTCTTTGCGATGAATACGGATGCGTATTCTATAATATTATGTACACCATGATATCATGAGCCATCCTTTTCCTCTATAGCTTTTCCGACCACGTGAGTGGACGTCAGTCCAATGTATTAGGTTTTGACAGAAGAATAACTAAGCCAGAAACATAAACAATTGAAGTATGAAGTGATGATATTATTGAATACTAAACTTACTTTTATAGTTTTACAAATAACCATAAATAAAAACTAACCACAGATCTTGAAAACAAATCGAGTAAATTATATTGGTTTTCTTTAATAGCATTTTCTCCAAAAAGTAATAAAATAAGGACAAACTATGCTTGGCTTATTCTATGCAAGTTAGCAATTTAACTACCTTAATAGATCTTTGATAAGATATATGTAATTGCTTTAGATTTTGATTTAGTTGATAAAATTAGAAATAAGCTATAATTGTCACAACAATTGAATAAATAATATTGCTGGCAAAATTAGAACCTAATGTGTGCTCGATATGGTTGTTTTGAGTTTGTAACTTGTCTATTTTATTCTCCACTCTCGGACAAGGGTGAACCTCTCAGTTTGTCTTAGATTAAGAAAATTATATCGATGATTTGACCTACTTGGGAGGATCTTGGACTAAAACCGTTAGCTCTACAGTGAGTACTTGCAATTATTGCTCAAGTGTAAGCTACTGTATTTGCATAGATAACATTGTCCATATCTTTATATGAAACAAGTATCTTTTCAAAAGTGTGGATATAAATTTGCTCTAATTGTCTCAAACAAAGCATATGATGTCTTTGGTGCATTACGAAGATGAAAATATCTAAGAGGTGAATATCCTAGTCCTTCCGACATGTTTTGTCTCACTCATATGCATCTTTAGGAAAATATCTAAGAGGTCACCTAATAATGTATTGCTCCAAACCAAAGCATACTTTATTGTGAAAAAAGGGTAAGCTAAGCGCCAGATTCATAGGTCCCTTCGAGATCCTTGAGGATTGGGGCTCTGGCATATAGGCCACCCACTCTCGCCGCTTGCACAATATTTTCCCATATATCCATGTTGCAAAAATACACGCTGGTATCCATGTTGAAAAAATACACGGTATCCATCAATGTTATATGTGTTATTGAGCATGAAACTCTCCCATTTTGAGAGGATCTATCGTACGAGGCCCTTAGATGTCAAGCGATTGCCACCCATGTTATTGAGCATGAAGCTCTCTCGTTTTGAGAGGATCTTTGAAACACTGTCCGTGCTTGAAACAATTTAGTCTTCTCCATATTACTATATCTTTATCTCTAGAGTCAGAGGCCCAAATTTAGTCTTCTCCATATTACTATATCTCTATCTCTAGAGTCAGAGGCCCCAATGCGAAATAAGGAGATCCCAACCATCAGGATAGCGATGCAACAAGGGATCGTGAGGATGCTACAAGGGAAGCGTGGAAAATCCTATCACTAAGTCTATTCGTAGAAAATTTCGAACCAGACCATTTGTACTTAAACAAAGGAAGCGCGGGCTTCTTTGATAGAAGCTTTTTTTTGTTTTGGTCCCAATTCAACAATAAACAAGTCCGAACTATTTGAATGCTTGTGCCAAAAATTCTCCGAATTGGTTTTTCATTTCCATAAAGGATATAATTGATAACTAGCTCCCGATTATCCCTTTCTTACAATAGATCCGATGGGAAAAATGTTACTAAATTTATAAAACAAAATACTTTTTCTTGGTAGGGGTGATTCACTTAATGCTTGTGCACAACTTTTTCTTGGTAGGTGTGATCCACTTGAATGCTTGTGCCTGAAATTCCCCGAATTGGTTTTCCATTTCCATAAAGGATATAATTGATAACTCTAAGCTCCAGATTATCCCTTTGCAATAGATCCTCTGGGAAAAGTGTTACTAAATTTATACCCGGCTAGTTCATATATGATTACAGGTCGAACAAAAACAAAATACTTTTTCTTGGTAGGTGTGATCCACGGGACATAAATCCAATTTTTCAATTTTTTTGATTTCTTAGAATTTTTTTTTTTTACTTTTTTAGGTGGTATCAAGATGCCATTGTGGGAAGTCCTATCCCGTATGCTACAAGGGAACAAGGGAGCAAATGCTACAAGGGAGTGCGAGTATGACGTCAGCAAGTCCTATCCCGGATGCTACAGAAATTGTATCAGAAATAGAAACCGAGAAACACTCAAATCTTGTAAGAAACTTAAATTCTTTCAAACTTCCAAGTTAGGTCTATGAATGTGAAGGAAAAAATGAAGGAAAATATTTCTAAATAGGTGGACTTTAAGGTCTTGAAATTCCGGGAAGGGATTGAGTTTATGGATTGGAGGATATAGGAGTCAAAATAAATGGTTTGAAATGCTATTTTGACCAGAATCTGAAATTAATATTGGTTTTAGGCAATCAGCAACGAACACTCGACGATCCAGGAGAGGAGAGACATGTTATGACCAGGGGTGGACACGTGTCGGGAAAATAGTGGATAAGCGTCTTGATGTCGTACCACTGACATTGTCGCTCACTTGCTACCCAAATAGTGGATAAGCCTTTTCTTAGGTCAAAGGCTCGAGCATTCAAAAATCTCTCTCCCCTCGTTTTCTAAAACCTTCTTAGGCCAGAGGCTTGAGTATAAGTCACTTAGTCATACTCTCCTCGTTTTTCAGAACCTTCTTCTTAGGCTAGAGGCTTGAGCATAAGTCACTTGGCCATATGTATGGAATTTAACTCTCCCCTCGTTTTCTAAAACTTCTCTTAGGTTAGAGGCTCGAGCATACGTTTTCTAAAACTTCTTCTTAAGCTAGAGGCTCAAGCATACGTCGCTTGGCCGTAGGCGACGTAAGAACAAGCATACGTCGCGGAATTTAAACGAAGTCTTTCAAAAATCTCTCTCCCCTCTTTCTAAAACTTCTTCTTAGGCCAAAGGCTCGCTCTCTTTCCCCTCTTTCTAAAACTTCTTCTTAGGCCAAAGGCTCTGGCTTCTTCTTACGTCAAAGGCTCGTTCTCTCTCCCCTAGTTTTCTAAAACTTCTTCTTAGGCCAAAGGCTACGTCGCTTGGCTGTAGGCGAAAAAATAGATTGGCTTAGCTCACTTGTCGGAAAGGGAGTGCCACACAATTGCAAGTCCGCTGCCATCAAAAGTGCGATTGTTGAAGTATTCTTCTGCATTCAATGTTTATGGTATGGAATTTAAATGAAGTCTTCCGCATTCAATATTTATGGTAGTGAATGTTTGATTAATCCACCACACCATGTGAAGTTATCTTATTTATAATCAAATAAATTACAAGGATATGGAAATTATAATAAATGGAAATAACAATAAATGGAAAGATATCTATGGTAATAAGACAAATATTAGATATTTGCCTTATATACCTTATAATAAAAAATTAAATATAATATATGGTAAACTATAATTTATTACTAAATATTCTTAACAGTACGTATATAGCGACCTTAAATTAAGTAAAAAATTTCGAGTCGTTACACCAACTCTTGTTTGTAGAGAGGTGGGGGATGCCCCAACTTTTGTTTGTAGAAAGAATTCATAATTTTTTGA